CAATATGTATTTATATTTTAGAAAATACAAGGGAAGCGGGGAAGAAATTTGTCATTTTGTTGTTGTTATAAGTTTAAACTAAATTATAACGTTTATTTTTTGCAGATGCTTCATTGTTCTGCCTTCTTATATGTCATCATACTTTTAAGTTCATATCTTTTATTCACTTTTCCTTTCTTACCAACCCACCATTTTCAGAAGGAGTTTGGACTTATTCGTGGAAAGATTCATAGATTCTTCTTATTCCTCCATACGCTGAAATCAATTTATATTCCTGTAAAGGGTACTGTACTTTCCAAAGCAACAAACTTTAAAACGACATTAACACTACTGCATTAAATGCAGACTTACGTATACTTTCTAAATAATCATAAAATATTTCAGATGAATTCCTTCAACATATAATAAAAGTCTTTAGAAATAATGTGAATATGGTAATGTAAGATCATGATTATCGCAAGACAATAATTGCTTACTTATCAGGCTTTGTAGTGAAGAAAATATACAAATATTCAGATTAAAAATGATAATAATCTATGCAAATATTAACATTATATTATATTAAAAATGAATAAATAATGTAAAAAGAAATGGCAAATATTATAAAGTAATTATTTATAATTTTTGCTCGTGGTATATGGATAATGATGGTTATAAATATCCAAACAATAAGCCAATTAGTCAGAAATGTTTTCAAATTCTAATCTTATCTTAATAATACAATTTTTATCAATAAAATTTATCCTGTAATTTCTGATTTAAATTAGAATAACTTCGATAAAATGTTTAATTATAAAATAAATTTTAAATCCATTCATTGTATTAAAATAATCTAAATATTACGTTTAAAACTATTATTATTTCAAAAAGAGAAGTAATTTTCTTTAGTGTAAATTATCCATGCAGGAATACAACTACACCTTTTATACTACAAGGAAAAAATTTATAGTTAAATAAGGTAAATATCTAATCAAAACTTTAAAATAATATGGCAAAGAATGAAGAAGAATGTAATATAAAGTTATAAATCTGTTGGACAATTGATATTGATTAAACATTAAATAAAATATTAACTGTTAAAATACAAATAAGATTAATAAAATGATTTCGTAGAAAGGAAATATTCTAATTAAACGAAAAGTTTTAGGAATTTTTTAATATGTATATATCGTCTGGGAAATATGATAAAGTTTTGAAAGGAAATGTGATATCTGTAGAAGTTATCTAACATTATCTTCTGTTAAATAACGATTCAGAATTAGTAATAATACTACTCGGAATGAATTGCCATTTAAACGTGTTTGTTCGTTTCATGTACACCGTAGCTATTACGTAAGAATTAAAGTACTGTACTTCTTTTTGTATCCTATATATTAGCAGCTCGCTTATGAATGAGGTAAGGTAGCAAAATTTATTCCTATTTATGCAATGATTTTGTTATAATAAGTTTTAACTCTTGGAAATATTATTTATTGAATTTTGATTGTGATAAAAGGTGTAGATTTAAAATACGACGAAAGAGAAATAAATGAACGTAACATTACAATTTCTAGCTTTTGGGGTTTGATGTTGATGGCGAGCTGCCAAGAAAGGAGGACTTTTATGGGAAACTAACCCTATTTAGGTGCTAAATACATAATAAAAAGACACGTGAAAACCCATTTAAAATATGTCTAATCTGTTTTATTTTTAATTAGAATCTTAGTATAAAAACATAAATAATTTTTCTAAAAATTCCATCTTTACTAAATAATACATTCAACAATGTAAATTCATTCTCTGACATATTCCTCTGATTACGTTATTATTATGCCGATGACTAAAGTAAGTTTCACAAGAATTCCTTCAAAGCTAACGATAACTAATTACATAGTGAGAATGGCTATTAACTTGTAAGGCAAATGGTCTGTACGATAAGTATTACACGTAGGTCATGAGTTGTATTGTTAAATGTATAAATCGATTAACATACAATCCTTAATAAAAATTCTTCATAGTTTTGTATAAAATAAATAATTAATTATTTTGTAATTGCTTATTATTCGGTATTACCATCAAATTATATAGAAAATTCTGTAGTTATTTTTCTTCTCGTGTTCAATATTGATCATATACAAATTCCGTGTTTGTGTGTTTATTTCGTTTATTATCTCAGGATGGAGTGAAGATTAAGAAACGAATTTGGAATGGTAGCTTGTGTATAAGGGGGCATTTATGTCCCCAAAATGGTAGCTTGTGTATAAGGGGGCATAAATGCCCCCTTATACACAAGCTACCATTTTGGTTGTGAAAGGATGAGGGGCTTTTAATGAAATTCTTTAGAACAAAATGTGTAGAAATGATAATAAATATTAATAAATTGTTAAATATGATGTAAGATTATCTTATCGCATCCGTTTTGTATTGATACTTTTGGTCATTTTTCACTCGTTATTTTAACACAGTGTAGTGTATGTAGAACAGCGATTCTTATAAATACAGAATTTACACCCTTAAATGAAAACACCAATTCTTCTTTTGTGCTTAAAAAATCTTCAAAAGTGTTTTGTAGATTTTTTCTTTCGGTTTTTTTAATACCCAAATACTCAAAGAAAAAGTCTATACACAATACTCTACTGAAGAATATTGACAATCAAAAACAGCAACAAGAAAAAAAGGATTAGAAGATTTCAGAAGTTTTTGCTTGGATTTTAATATTTGTAAACCCAAAAAACTTTATATTTTTGAACCATTTCATTGATTTTTTTTAAATTTCTTTTTTATCGTTGCACTCTGTTATAGAGAATTTAAAGAAGAGAATAATAATTGCATCTATCTGATAAGTTTATTTTAAGATAAAGTGGGCGATTTAAAGGAGAAATGTTAGCGAAAAGAAAATTTATTCGTTACAAGTATGTGCAAAAGCTATATATAATTAGAGTTATTATATCTACATAGTTACATATAAATACTTAAGAAATATCATTCGAGAACATTGAAAATTAACCTTTATATCAAATATAGTTTTGATGGGATTTCCTGACATGTTCCTCTGACAATTCCTATCATGTACTTGTAACATATAAAAGTGTTAATCAATGAATACAAATGTCATACGTATTGCAGTTGGCAGGTACGATACCATTATATTCAAAGCTCTTCAGGTGCAACATCCTCCTCTGCAATTCCGATTAGTAGTAATTGGTCTTATCCAAAATGCCATATTGGAAATTAATTAGCACTGTTTTTATTGTTGTTATGATATTAACCTCTGATATAGCTGCAATTAATCAATAAAATCCATGCCTTTATGCAATGTGACAATTATTAACGTTTACAAAACTGTGGATATGTGCTGATTGAAATCACCTTATGATAAGAATTTCTCCACTTTACTCTGTTTGAATCACAAGTTTTTGTGTTTAAAAATAATCCATCATGTAAAAATTATATAAATAAAGCTGAAAGTTTTCATTAAATACGCATAGTATATTTAATTAAAAATTCCTTATATATGACAAAGGCATTCATTTCCTTAATAGATATGCTGAATCATTTATTGTAATTAAAATAATCATTTTAGATATGGACATTTTCTAAAAATTTTGCATAGTATTTTTATTATACAATATTTACATCATGGTAAAAAGTATTTTAATAGAATTAATAAATAAACTATTAATAAATTTGGCCACATTCTAAAACAAAAGCCGTACTTAGACATTTATCATTGAGTAAGTAAATAAATAAATAAATAATTTCTATTGTTTATAAATTATATAGAATAATATAATGATAACGGAAGAGAGCTCAATATAATAAAAACTGAAATTAGTATAATAAAACTCATCCTGCAATAAAATTTATTATTTAACTTAGAATCATTTCGGGGTGATGTCACCTATTTGAGAAATAAAAAGGTCGTTTGCTCCTAGTAATAAATTAATAAAGTTAAGAACGAAACGAAAATGGTGACAATTAACTTTAAAATTAATTGTAACCCATTCGTTTAACAAACAGACAAATCTAAATATACAAAGAAAAAAAAACACACACACACACAGACACACATTCTGTGTAATTAATATACACATTTAACGTGATAATTAATTTTTAAGAACTTTACTATGAATATTTTTACGCTGTCCACGTATTAAATAACAGTTAAAAGTACTTCTGTCACACATATCAAGGACATTATCATCATCTTTAATAGTGTTAAATTTGTTCCGGTAGCTGATCATTCCAAATTGGTATATCATCATTATACGTGTGGTCACTTACTGTTAGTTAAATAGGAACTAATTAGTTTTAGTCGAAAATCTATAAGTAATAATAAACAATTTCTATTCGGTATTTAAATACGAATGTAAGAAAAGTATATGTGTATGTGTGTATATATATATATATAAAACTTTTTATGTTTATATCCAGCAGAGGAGTTGATTGGATGGGTAGAACAAACCGACAATTAAAAGTGTATAGGGTGACGAAGTCATCTGGACATATATCACGTGTCACATGTACAGTATCAGCTACTTTCTGTGAATAGATATATTCGAACAACATTCTCTAATCCTCATTCAAGCAGGAGGTAAGATTATTTCTATCTTAATAAATTCTTATTAAAACTACGTGTAATTTATTATACTTATGTGTTTTTTTTTAATAATATTTTGAATAAACTCCTGTGTAATATTTTAAAATGATTTTATAGTAATTTAATTAAATTATTTAGTTGTTTTTAAAATAGTTAAAAATATATTTATAAAATTATCTACGAAATCATTAATATTTATTTCAAACTGTGATAAATTTTTATCATAAACAATCCTTAATAAAAATTCTTCATAGTTTTGTATAAAATAAATAATTAATTATTTTGTAATTGCTTATTATTCGGTATTACCATCAAATTATATAGAAAATTCTGTAGTTATTTTTCTTCTCGTGTTCAATATTGATCATATACAAATTCCGTGTTTGTGTGTTTATTTCGTNTGTAATAAATTAATCAATAGTTAATATTATAAATTGCAGAAGGTTTAGATACAGAAAACATGGCTTGGGTAAGAAATAAAAGTCATGAAGCCGGAGGTTTTCCTTTAATTGATAAAAATTATCGTAGATCATTAACTGCTGATTGGACAGAATTATTTGAGAAACAGTTCAAAACGTACATAATTGACTTTCCTTTATCGATAAGCATATTTGCAAATCCACTAGACACTAGTGAAAATATAATACATGTAAGTTGTTATTTCATTTCAAGAGAATTTTTATTAATTAAAAAGATTATTACATAACATATTTATAGTTATAATATATCATTAATAAATAGGTAAAATAAGAAAGAAAATAAATTAATTTTTCTCAAATTTCTCGGTTTATATTAGGTCTTTCTTCTCTTAGATTCTGTCGCTTTCAATTAGGATAAACTGACTTATGGTCACGCTGTATATTTAAGTAATGGATTATATAGTAAAATAATCTTTGAATAAATATAATATTTCTGCTTACAGATTTCTCAACCAGCTTTAGAATCGGAATTACCAGAACTACAGAAAGATGCATTATATCTAATTGCAACTGCCTTCCAAAGTCATCCGAATAATGCTTCTATCTTAAAAGATATCGATGATATATTTTGGTTAAAAGAAAAAGTTACTAATGTAAGAAATGTCATACAAAAAAATAATAATAATACTGAATTTAAATCGATTAGATTAAAGAATATTGTAGTGTTAATCAATTATAAATTAATAGAAACGAATTATTGACGAAATTCTTAACTTTATTAAGAATTTACATTGCCGAATTGAAAGTTAAAGGGAGGAAAAATGAATTTAAGTGTAAGTGTCGCGTAGATAAGCATGAACAGGGAGGGCATCACGATTCTAAATATAACATCGAGTGTTTTAAGGACAGCAAATATCTGGAGTCAGTTAAGAAGTAAGGATGTTTTCCAATTAATGCAGTAACGTAAATATAAAATTTGTTTTTTTTCTTATTAGAAAAGAATAATTATTAATACTTTCACGGCTTTACAAAATTATCAGTCTATCTGTAGTATATAACGTGTTAAAAAGATAAAACATTAATATCCTAGTTTAGAGTTGATACTTCTGTTAATATTTATCAATATATTAAAATACAAACGCATAGATCCGTAATATTACACGTAATTAACTAATAGAACGCGAATTTTTAAATGGTTTAGAATTGTAAACGTCGTTAGAGGATATGAATAAGAACATTTACTAATGGAATTTTTATTGACATTTTTTAATGTATATGTAAGCAGATGGTTTATTTTATTAACTGCTATAAAAAGATAACAATTTTAAGTCCCTAGATATAAAAGATAAATGGGTTTAGCCCTGTTATTTTCTTTTTTGTTTTTACATTTGTAATGCAAAACTGTTCGGATTGACAGCAGATACTCTTTACTATTTTTATAACGTCGAGGAGATGTATGAGGAATGTAAAATATGTTTAAAAAAATATTAAATTTACATGCGAATTATGTAATGAATGCATGGTAATCGAATACGGTGAAATTTGTAACAATTTATATCTCGTTTCAACCAGGATAGAGAAGTTTGTAAGTGTTATAATTATGTATTTATGCTGTAATTTAAGTCTTTTTTTTAAACCTATATATATAACTGCATTTATTATTAATTATTCAAGGTAAGAGTAGTAATAAAATAGTCACTCTCTTAACATAAATTATAATAAAATACATATAAATTATTTTTTCAGATAATATCTAAAAGTAACTGTGATAAAAAAGATGAGTGCAGGTTCGTATCCTATGCGTGATGTCGAAGCTAATGGAAGTAAAGTTACGTAAGTAGTTTTAATATGAAGTATTTTGTGTATATAAAATGAATAATTGGTATATGTAATTGTTTATATATATATATATAATAGACATACGGAGAAAAATACAGATAGAGAAAAAAAATTACGTATAGCTGTGATCGTTCTTGCTATTTTAATCTGCGGTCTCATAATTGCTTTAATTCTACTTGCTACTTTAGGTAAGAGAGTTTAATTGATTTTTAAATTTATTTTATTTATTTCTAATATTAATTAATAGTATAAACAACAGTCTTCAAAGTTACGGAACTTTCAAGCACGAAAATAATAAAAATAAAAACTTGTGTAAAAGTTTTTTTTATTTACTAGTTTGTAGTTAACGTTTACATTTATTGTTGTACCATTAGCTAAATGCAATTTAATTCTCATAAAGAAAACGTTGTTTTGACTCCAATTTAAGAGCAACTTGGTCCATCAATCGAAAAATTTAGGCAGCATTATAATAGTGAATTAGCTCCACATTTAATGAATTAAAAAAGAAAATAGAGATTAAGCTAGTAATAAATTCTTTAGTATAGACTAGAATAAATTGTCTTATAAATTGAAGGTCTACTAATATGTTAATAAATTATTAACATATTTAAACAAAAAAACAAACAGAAAACTAAATATTTCTTGTTAGACTTTCAAGATCAAATGGGTGATAACATTAGCTTCAGTTTTACCTATTTAGAGGATGTACAAAATCTCTGATTTTCGTATTCACAATCAAGAATTAGAATTAAAAAGTAATTAATAAAACGTACCATAAATGATAATTAGTTAATCTCTAATTCTACTTCTTAATCCTTGGCTGTTAATAGGATGTAAGGTGGATAAGCTATCTCTCAGGAGCATTCTACTAAAGACATAGAACCATTAATGAGAATTTATTATTAATTACACACTTTTAAGGAACATATATTAGTAATTTGTTGTAAATAATAAAGCTAAACTTCGATTTTTATCTTTTAAATTTCTAAATTTAAGTAGCTTCACAGAAATATTTTAAGGACATTATCATATTTTTTTATTATTATTATTTAAGTAAAATTCTAATTTTCTAATAAGATAAATAAACGTTTTCACAATTAAAAAAGTCACTTCAGTTAAATGCTATAAAACTCCTGGGCCTCCAAATCCGTCACTGACTAATTACGTCTACACCAACTTAAAGTGGAGTTTACATAGATAAAAGACTCGAAAATGATATGTCGACCCAAATTATTCATAAAAAAGTCATGAGAACCGCATCAAGACTTCAAGTTGTGAGACTTACTGTTTGTAACAGACTACATTTTCTTTTTTATCTTACACCACCACAGCTGTCTTATCTTAAAAACAATACTCGATATAATATATAATTATTGTTTATAAATGTATTATCAAATATTCACAACAGATAAATTTGTATAGAAGCATATTATTTATATATAATTTCTGATCTTTATAACAATGTAAATAAAATAAAACTGCTTTATTAGTATTTTAAAGTTTATCCTTATGTGTTGTTATGTANATTTATTATTAATTACACACTTTTAAGGAACATATATTAGTAATTTGTTGTAAATAATAAAGCTAAACTTCGATTTTTATCTTTTAAATTTCTAAATTTAAGTAGCTTCACAGAAATATTTTAAGGACATTATCATATTTTTTTATTATTATTATTTAAGTAAAATTCTAATTTTCTAATAAGATAAATAAACGTTTTCACAATTAAAAAAGTCACTTCAGTTAAATGCTATAAAACTCCTGGGCCTCCAAATCCGTCACTGACTAATTACGTCTACACCAACTTAAAGTGGAGTTTACATAGATAAAAGACTCGAAAATGATATGTCGACCCAAATTATTCATAAAAAAGTCATGAGAACCGCATCAAGACTTCAAGTTGTGAGACTTACTGTTTGTAACAGACTACATTTTCTTTTTTATCTTACACCACCACAGCTGTCTTATCTTAAAAACAATACTCGATATAATATATAATTATTGTTTATAAATGTATTATCAAATATTCACAACAGATAAATTTGTATAGAAGCATATTATTTATATATAATTTCTGATCTTTATAACAATGTAAATAAAATAAAACTGCTTTATTAGTATTTTAAAGTTTATCCTTATGTGTTGTTATGTATGAAATGTTCTTACGCTCTTTAACTCAATAGTTTTATTAATTTCCTTAATTTATATACCTAAATAACATTTAAGAAACAAAAACATTGCTTTATAATTTATTATTCAAGGGAAGAAATCCAAAATGGAAGAAATTTGTACAGATGCTTCATGTGTAAAATCAGGTAACTTTTAATAAAGTTTTTCAAAGAGCGTATCTTAACTTTAAAAATATAATTATATAATTAAAGAAATATTGTATTTTGTTAGCCAACTTTTTATTGAATTCAATGAATACTTCCGCTGATCCTTGCGAAGATTTTTACGAATTTAGTTGTGGTAAATGGATATCGGAACATATGGAAGGACAAGGAACGAGAACGTTACAGATGGCAAGCGACAAATTGGAGAAAGATATTAGAGGTTTTATATTATTAAATATATTTTTAATTTATTAATTAGAGTAAATTTTTACTAATTAATATCAAAAATGAAGTTCAAATTATCATTGTTAATGGTTTTAAAGTACGAATTATCAATCGAACTGTCGTATTTCTTCTTCGAATTTTTCAACTACTTTTATCATAAATCCCTTTAAAAATAACTTTAAAAAGTATATCCTCGATTAATTTCCGTAACTCATTTAAAATGCATTCCTTTCTTTACTGAAATTTAAATTTTTTTACTAATTTATAGCGTGCATTTCTATAATGTCACGATATATCCGGCCTCATAAAGAAATGCGTATTGCAGGAAATATATCTTAGTTTTTTTTTATTGGATACAGCTTAAAATTATTATTAAATGTATAGTAAAATCGAATTGTATAATATTAATTTAATTATTATTTTATACAATCGATCACTAATATTAATTTATATATCAATTGTATGGACATGATGCTACCACGTGTTATTAAAGCATGTTGCACCGAGAAGAATTTAATGATTCATAACATATTTTGGCCATTTTTCATTTTATAATCAAAGTAAATGTGTTACTCTATTTATAAAATTTATTACCTTAGCAATTTTGAAATATGTAGCCAAAATGGCAGGGCGTGGGCTAAGCTACGGGCTTTAATACTTTCTGATAATCGCATTTTATCGTATATTTCACTAAAAAAAGATTTAATTATTATGATAATAAAATGTATTTATTTAAATGTAATTTCGTTTAAATTATAATAAAAATATAATTGATAAATTAAGTGAGATTTTCTAAAAGATTGACATTAATTCGCCCGTTTTTCTTTAATAGAAGCAAGAGATTTTACCCCTTCCTCTTTGTGTACAGGCAGCATTTACCTGTTTCCATTTGCTAAATATATATAAAGTTTAAGGGGAATTTTTTAATAGAAAGTTGATTTCTGACGTCTTGAATGTAAGCGAAGTGCTGAAGAAAATGCAAATTTTTCCCGTTCTGGTGCAAATTTTTTTTTTTACGTTTCGGCACCGGATTTCCGGAAATTGGCGCATAACAATTGAAAAAAGTTGGAAGAATAGTCACCGTTTCAATTACGCTCCCATTCATACCGGATATCCCCGGAGATTACTAAAATCGACAATCGACAACAGTGTTTATCATTCGCTCTTCCCTCTCTACAAACTTTCTGGATCAATTCTTTGTCCAAAATACTTNTTTTAAAAAAAAATAAATCATTTAGGTAGATTGGTTGGATTTTCTCACGGATTTATTCGAAGATTATTTAAATCCAGGTGATGAAATCACCGAAAATGATAAAGTATTCTTACGTGGTAAAAGTTACATTCAGACGATTATAGAGCTTTTTGAAAGTAGAAAAATTACAGAAAGGTTAATACATTTTAAATCATTTCTTTTGAATGTTTTGTATGTTTATTTATAACATTTTCATATCAAAAGACACATGGCAATACTCAAAGAGAGAACTATCACCTCCACATTAACAATGATATTTAATGTAGAAGTGGCTTACAACCTAAAAAGATCAATGATTTTAAATTAAAAAATGTTTTATATTTCAGAATGTTTTTGAATTACGGTGGTGCTATGTTTCTCAATGAATTGTTGACTTTTCATTTTGTTTCACAAAATGGTATTAATATTAAATTAAAACAAAAAACGACTGCTTCAAGTAGTGAAATGAAATGGTCTCAATGTAAAACTTACATAACTAGAACAGCCAGTCCTGTTTTAGATTATCTTTATGGGAATTACAGAAAAGAAAAAACAATTGTAAGCTAGCTTATGTCTTTTATTGTTTAGTAAAAGAAAAATAAGTTTTACAATAAGTTAATTTTTGCTCCAGGACAAAGAATTAATCAATTATATGGTCAAAGCGATGGAAGAAATGGTAGCGCAATCGACATGGTTAGATGAACCAACAAAAAATGCTGTCCAAGATAAAGTAAGTGGAAATAAATTAATGTAAATACAATAGTCTTTTGAAATAATTTCAAATTTAAAGATATTTTTAAAATAGTTGAATCATATGATTGCATTCGTAAGTCTACCAGAATGGACTCAAGACGTAAGAGAATTAGAAAAATATTTTGAAGGAGTAAGTTTCCGTTCGTTTTTTATTTTTTTTAATTAAAAAGTTTATAAACAATTATAAATAATTTCAAATCTCCATTCCAAAACTCAATAAACATAAAATGTAGTATTTAATCATAATGTATGTATAAAAGCAGTGTAGTGATGTATGTGGCGGTGTAGCCACTATCCTTATCCCACATCACTCTTCAACTTCCAACCGGAAAAAACATGACTAATAATTCTTGTTTTTAAAATTATTTTTAGCTTCCTAAAATGACGTCCAATGCTTTCGAAAATGCGTTTAATTTAAAACAATTCGACACTAAAAAACTTGTTGGATTACGCGGAAAGAAAAATGATAGATCCAAGTAAATTTTACCTTTAAAAATTACATATAAACATTTATATCTTTTAAATTTTATTCTATAATACTCGAATAAATAATTACTATTTTAGATGGCCACGATATTCCCAAATGGGAGGATCACAAGTTAACGCATTTTATGTACCAGACTTTAATATTGTTGGTAAGTTTATATTATATTTGTTAAAGATTTCTATTCTATTCTAAATATTTCTATTTAAAATAAATTTAACCGTTTAAATTACATATTCTTACGTAGAAAATCGTTCAAGGATAACTTTCTTAATCGTTACAGTAAGGCGTATATTTAATAAGATAAATCTATTAGTATTTAAATTATTTATAAACTGAAAAGAAGTATAAGATTTTCAAGGATTTCTTCTTAAAAGAAAATAACATTTAATGGTGTAAATAGATTTTTTATACGAGTTTTTTTTTATAAATGTAACATCGTAAATTTTACGAGAAAAATACATTTCAATAGATTTATCTACGTTTCCTGCGGAACAGTATTATGCTGTTTTAGTAACCTAAACTATTCAAGCAATGTTATCTTTACTGTTTTTTATCGCTCTGAAAATAAAGTGAAGGTCATATTTAGCCATCTGTTTAACAGGACATAGTTTATGCTTTGAAAATACCGTAAAACTTTAAGAAATTCGAAAAAATATATATACATATTAATTTATGTGGAATTTATCTGTGTCTAGTGACAGTTTTATCTATCTAAATCACAAATATTTATAGAAATAATTAATGTTTTCAGTAATTCCTGCTGGTATTCAACAACTACCTTACTATCATGCCGATCGACCTAAGTAAATATTGATTTAAAATTTCTAAAACTTATTTTAAAATCGTTTAAATACTTTTGAGTGCATAAAATAATAAATTTTACATTTTTTAGTTACATGAATTTTGGTGGAATGGGTCTTATTTATGGCCATGAAATGACTCACGGTCTTGATGAATCAGGTATTTGTTTTTGAATTTATTTCGATTATTTTACTACTTATAAAGATATATATATATATATATATATTTATATATATAATATATTTTAATGCCATTAGGAAGTTTAAGAGATAAATATGGAAATTTGAAAAATTGGTGGACAGATAAATCGAAAACAGAATTTAAGAAAAGATCGAAATGTTTTGTAGACCAATACAGTTCCTATCATTACGATGGACTTGATATAACTGTAAGTTTATAGTTTATCTTTCATTAATTAAATTATTTTTTAAAATTAATTTTAATATATAAAAGTGAATAAATAAATAACTAGACTAAGCAACCAGCCATGCTGTTGCTTTTGGCTGATTATTCCTTTATCCATCCTTATATATATTCATTTTTTAAGCATAATATTTTAAAATAAAGTAGTTACTTTATAAAAAACATTGTAAAATTACAAAAATAAACCTTATTCAAATTATAGTATAGTTATAAAAGAGTTACTGATGCAAGGGGTATTGTAATATTAATGAAATATTCTCTATAATGATTTTCTCTATAATTCTATAAATATATAATTTTACTGCTAGGTAATATGATAGAAAAAACAATAACTGTTTATTAAGCTAGAAATAATCCATTTATTTCTAATTATTGGTTAATTTTATATTAATTTCATCAAATAGTTTTGTTATATAATTCACCACTTATCTCCAAAAGTGTATGGAAGGTATAAAAGTACTTCCTTTTCAATAGCATCCATGCAGATCATACGCTTCCGTTGTTTTTACAAAGGAACAATTTCACATAAAATATACTGGAATATAACATAACGATGTCAACATCATATTACTATCCAGTTTAGATAAATTTTAAAAAGTTTTTCTTACCTATTATTCATATTTTAGGTCGATGGAAAGCAAACTTTATCAGAAAATATTGCCGATAACGGTGGGATACGTCAGGCATATCTGGTAATTTTATCTGATTTTAATACTGAAATAAATTAATTATTAATTGTACTATACGAAAATGTAATATATTCGTATAATTTTATAAAACCAGGGTTATCAGAAATGGGTGAAAGATCATGGTAAAGAGAAAAGACTTCCAGGTTTAGAAAAGTACAGCCCCGAGCAATTGTTTTTTGTTGCATTCGCCGAGGTAGCATTCTAATTAAATATACTTTAAAATTTTTAATTGAATAGAGAGGTTAAGTCCGAAGTTTTCATCTCTCAAACGTGAACGTCGAACGTCGGGCGCCGCTTACAAGATAGCTGCACTCGACGTTCAACGTTCACGTTTGAGAGATGAAATTATCATGATAAAATTTTCTGTTTCAGTCATGGTGTAGCAGTATTCATCCACCGTCCTTATTAGCGAGTAGTCATGCAGACGATAGCCATTCTGCTGATCAATTCAGGTAAAATTACGTTACAATTCGTGTATTCTCTTTTATAATAGAGAAGTTACGGCCGAAGTTTTCATCTTTAAAACGTGAACGTCGAACGTCAAGCGCCGCTATCTTTTAAGCGGCGCTTGACGTTCAACGTTCACGTTTTAAAGATGAAAACTTCGGCACCAACTTCTCTATACAGTATATTACTAATATATTATACTTCAATTTTAACATTTAGGGTAATTGGCAGTTTAGTCAATATGAAAGAATTTTCTGAAGTTTTCAAGTGCAAATCAGGATCTAAAATGAATCCTAAAAATAAATGCATCATATGGTAAAAATTTCACACCAAAAAAAATCAGGAAAAATTTGAAACGTTGCTCCATATTCATTTAATTTATATATATACTTATAACAAATATTCATTTAGTGAATTTTGTATACGAATATTCACTGCCATTTCTCTATGTTTGTTACAAAAGAAAATTTTTATTTTTATATTATAGTTATTAAAATAATAATACTAATAAAACTTGTTAAATTTTAAATTTATTAAAGAAAATATCTATGTGTACATGTAATGCAAATAAGTACATAATTTTGAATTGATATTTTATATTACTGTAAAATTAAAGTATGAATTTATTGTATAATATAAATTATTATGAAAAAATTTAAATATTTATATAACACATTATTAATTATAAAATAAATATTTTAATTATATTATTTTTGTAAGCAAATACAAATTATTTTTCTAGTCCGAATTATTGAAAGAACTAAAGTTCTTCAACTATATTTGTATAAAATACATATTAAAGTGACATTTGTTGTTAATTAAGTAACATATATATTATGTTTTGTGGATAAATATGTTATATTTTTTAAGGTATGTTTTCATATTCAATTATGTATTAATAAAATGTGTTTTCATTTAATTCAATAAAAAACAATCAAACAAAAATTTATGTTTAAAAGAAATTTTAAATATAAATATTGTTTGTCATTTGTTATTTTTATTATTCATTATAAAAATTAATATATTTTATTAATGAAAATATTAAGAAATTGTTAATCCATAAATGTATTTTTATTTTATATTCAAGTACAGTACTTTAATTAATAGATTTTTTTTGTAAATATAAGCATTTATTCGAATGATGTTAGTTATGGAATAATAAAATATTTCGTTGTTGTATATTTGTAATTTTATATTCTTTAAAAATAAACTAAAAAATACACAAATCTCTAGTGACCTATTTAACACATTAACGACATTTAATAGTCTTTCTTTGAACGATTTAAAAATAGTAATTTTTTTTCCTCCCTCCCTCCCTTTAATCTTTTAGTTGCAGATGGCGAGGTTATAAGTAAAGCAATGTGCCAGTACATAATATAAATAGTTTAAATATAAGAGGAATAATAATTAACAGTTAATACAACTATTGAATTATTATATTAATTTCTTTCATAATACAAAGCAATTTTTTTAAGCTTATTGATAAATCTATAACAAATATTAGAGAGGTTGCGGCCGAAGTTTTCATCTGTAAAACGTGAACGTCGAACGTCGAGCGCCGCTTCTTATACGTTTTCATCTGTAAAACGTTCGACGTTCACGTTTTACAGATGAAAACTTCGGCCTCAACCTCTCTATTAAGTAAATTTAAAGTGTGGTTTATTAATGGAAGTCTTCTGGCGTGTTTTAATATGATCTACATTTTAAAATTAGATAAAGTACAATTAAAAGAATAGTTTAAATTTTTTGCGGCAGAATTGGTCTCTAACAACTGTACAAAAGTCCACTATTAGATTGCAGAAACTCTTCCTATACCATTAATAATAAGAATATCAACTTATCATTTTGTCTAGTTAGGTAAATATAAATATGCCTTATTCAATATTTGATAAAATAACCTTACAATTAGAAAGAGATTGAATTCATTTGCTTGATGTTTTTATCTGTACTTTTATACTGTATTTATTAAAATATTTACTTTAATATTTTAAAATATTCCTTGAATAATGAATAACAAATTATCAGTTTTATATAACACTTCGACTAACGTATAGATTTACGAATTGGATTTTATAACCTTGAAGATGTGACCGCGCTTGTTTCGCAGAACACCGATTATCTCGTATAAAACTACGCCTACATTAAGACATTCTTAATTCTCTTTATTATCTAATATACATCTGTTCTACGTTAACATTTTGCATTATTAAAATCAAAAGTAACATTCGTAAAATTATGGAAAATTTTATCATTGTAATACATTTCGATCGTATAGTAAAACAATTATTTTTTTGTTTACATTATTTACTACTAAGTACATATTTTAGTTGACAGATGGTGCTAGTTAAAATGTAATTCTTTCCGGTCAATTAGTGGATAAATTGTTGTTCAAGTTTACATTTTTTAGCATCCAAAATAGCCAAATGATAATGGAGACGAAGCTAAAGCCGTAAGTTATCTTAGTTTATTCATATAAAATTTAAACTTAATTATAATATAATATTTATATTTTTAATAGAAGAAAAAGTAGGCTATTACGAATAAAAATTATATACGTTAGGGAGATTATATTCATCATTTGGTAATTTACACTTAACATTAATCATCGTTTTAATATGCCTTTTTTTTCTATATCCAAAGTTTGAGGATTATATTTCAAAAAACAAAATAAAAATGCTTCTTTTAGAATAGAAATTAACATAAAAATTAAAAATGTATATTCAAATACATACATCTCATGATATAGACTTACATACATTCAAACCTGTAAACAACGGACACGAGAACATAAAAAATGGCTATTAGAGGTTATTTTATATGAATTTTTATTTAAAAAGAGTGACCATTGTTGGAAGTTCTATTGTATTTTATGAGTAAATAAAAATATAAGGACCTTAATCAATCAGATTCATACATTTTGTATATTCTCATTCAATAACTTTATTTTTAATTCTATAATAACAAAATTATTAATTATATATATATTTTTTAGAATGTTTTCTATTTAAAAATCATCTCTAAAATCTTAAATTTAGTTCATTTTATTTATATCAATAATTCAAAACTAGTTATATAATACATTGAAAGAGAGAAAAATGATTATATAATTTATTACAGATATTGAATATTTTATTAAATCTACTAAAAATACATTCAGTAAATTCTTTCTATCAATATTTTACTTATTCTATTTTCTCTTATTTAATTCTAACACAATGAAACAGTTATATCACACTGTCAGAATGTATTTTGAATCTCATTTTTCTTCTAAGATGATAAATGAGATATTAATTACTGATATTAATATTAATGATAGAATATACTCTATTTATATTATTAAATTTTGAATTAATTTCTTTATATTATAAATTGTGTATATGATTTATTACAAGTAAAAATCTTAAAAATAATTAATGAGAAATAAAACTTCATTTATTTAACTTTTAATTAATAAAATTAAACAGAATAATGAATATTATTTATGATGCTTAGATATGTGTTAAACTAGTATTCATTATCATTAATATTTTATCTAATAATAAAGAATGTTTACTAATTTTTTATGCATATTAATGATACATCTTTAACCCTTTCATCAGCTTAAATTACTATGAAAAATGATTTTTATTATATATTAATAATTCTAGACAAATCTCGTTAACATATGATATAATTTTTATGATAGAAAAAAAAGGATTGTTTTTAACACTACTCATTTTATTTAATGCTTAACCTTGATACATCTTTTTCTTCCTGGAATGATTAATTTTCACCTTCAACAGTTTGAAATGTTTTGTGTGTCTTATATATAACGTTTTTATTTGCCATGAGAAGGAAAGATATATCTTAATCTTGATATTTAATTACAAAAATTAGATTATATTTATTATGTTTCATGTTTTTATAATAAGTAATTATCAACATCAGATATTAATCATAGTAAGAGTAATTGTAACGTTTGTTCCAATAAATAAATAAATATTTTAGATAATTTCCACCTGATTTAACTTTTAAACAATTAAAATAATTTATCTAAAATATTACTTTTAATTTATTATTTTGTCAAATGGCTTCCAAAGATTTAATAGATTTTTTTAATAAATAAAATAGCATTCTCTTAATATAGTTCTTGAGAAATATTTTACCATATAAAAACGAGTATTTTACTATAAAAATACCAACGACCTGACGACCAACTTCAGTGTTTTGCGGTGCTTTTCGCATGTTTTTATTTAAAACTTTTTTTTATAAACAACACATATTATTTACGGTAATCTAATCTATAAATTAAAAAATTAAAAAAATAATAAAAATCGTCAGTAAGACAAGAAAATATTGCAATTTATAATACTGAAGTCATTAAGTTTTTTTACAGTAGACAGGTGGCATTTGAAATGTTTCATTTGTACTTTGTTTTATAATCATCAGTAATTAAAATAATAGAAATTATAATCTTATTTACTGTGGATTTATGTTCTACAGTATTCCGAAAAGACTTCATAATGTCAAGAATATAGTATATATTTATAATATTGAACATAGTTTTTACTTTCCCGGCTCTTTTATAGGGGAAAGTAGGGTAATTTTAGGGTGTTATTTTAGTTTCCCCAAAGAGGAAACTAAAATAACTCACTAAAATTTAATCAAACATCATAAGTTTATTATCAAAATATAAGTTTGAAGTGTTATTTACAATTTGATTTTATGTTATAACAAAATAAACTTAAGTTTACCAAAGAAACATTTAACTTATTAAAATAAGTTATATAATTTTATTATCTTGTCAAAATATAATCCTCATTCATCTTAATAGAAAATATTATGTGTTAACTCCGATAAACAATTGACATTTTCTATTTTGACAATGCTATTTATGATGTCACATATAAAATCACACTCGTTAGAAGGGAAATGATCGTTGCAACAATTCTCAAACTTGTTCGTGTTCAATGACGAAACGAGTTTCTTCGAAGTGACGTCAACGACCAAGCGTAATTATTAATTAACCAAAATGTAATTATTACGTCACCGATAAGTATTTCACTTAGTGGTATTTTTGTGTATTATTTAAAATATAATCACTTATTATTTAAAAAGAAAAAAAAAACGTACGTTGTCACGAAAAATACACGGGATTATAGACATTTAATTACGTGTTTTGACAATGACAAAATTAATTATATACAGTATTCTTATATTTGAATTATTGAAGATTATCACAAACAAGAAACTTAATTATAATTAAATTTAATTATACTTAAAGGAAATTAAAGAGGAAAATATTCCGTAAAAAAGATTATCCTGTTTAATCTTAATATTTAATTAAAAATTAGAATATAAAACAAGAAAATTAATTATAATTATTATATATTATATTATTTACCGTAATTTCCTGCGTATAACTTGTATAAATTATTATTTAGCTCTAATGTTGATTATGATTGGAAAAATGCAGAGATGAAAGTCGAGAAACATTATTTTTTAATTTCAAGGTAAGTAATATTTTTAAAAATAAATCAATATTAAAAATAGTACAATCGTTCAAATCAAACAATATATCTTATGAAATTTGTATAATAATAGATTTTTAGGTATTTCTAATACATGGACAGGCAAAAAGATTGTGACTGTAATTATAATACTTGTATTATTATTTGCATCGACTTTAATAGCTTTGATAATTATCGTCTCATATCGGCCAGGTAAGTCTTTATTTTATTTTTTTTTTATAAAAAGAATTTTGCATAAACAGAGATTGTTCCATTAGAAATAATATGTAGTCTGTATATAAATGTTTGTATGTGTGTCTGTACGTATATTTGTAATGTTTTGCAAGAATTACCCTGCATTAAATAAACTTTTATCGTAGTAATCGCTGTAAATATATAAACCAGAAATGCCATCGTGTACGTTCACAAATTGGATTCTAATTTACTGACATTATGATGTCAGTCATGAATACTTCGTTAAGTATAGTTAACTAGTTTATACGCCAGCGAATATGTATTTATAATGTATTAATTTCCTCGCATTGAACGATAATAGAGAGTTGCGGCCGAAGTTTTCATCTCTAATGTGTAAAATC